TTTTATAAAGATCAAGATATTTATATTTTATTATATTATTAAGTTTACTTAACAGATAAATCATAATATGTTTTCTTCTAATATTGATAATATGCTAAATGCTTTCTTTGGTGGCGGAATCCCAGAGATGGGTATCCACGAAAGCGGTAGGCGTTTTATGGAAAAATTAAACCAACACCAGACTGTCTCTGTGAGTTTAGATGACCTTTACAACGGATGTGAGGTTGAATTGAATTCTACACGCCGTGTTATATGCGTAAACTGTTCAGGACGTGGAACACGTAAAAAGAACAAGTCGATGTTGCGATGCACGCGTTGTGGTGGAACTGGTACTAGTATTGAGGTTCAACAGATGGGTATGATGATCCAGCAGATGCAGACAACCTGTAATGCTTGCAATGGAACCGGCACGCGCATAGACCCCTCTGCTTGTTGTCAGAGTTGTTACGGAGAGAAGGTTGTTGAAATAGAGGTCCCCATCCAGGTTGAGATTGAGCCAGGAATGCGTCACGAGGAATCTATATTTTATCCAAAAATGGGTAATGAGTACCCTGGTTATGCTTCTGCAGGTGATCTCACAGTTGAGGTATCCCAGAGGTCGCATCCGCTCTTTGTGCGGTCTGAAAACGACTTGCACATGAAACACGTAATATCACTAGCAGAAGCTTTATGCGGACTCAGGTTTAAAATTGTTCAGCTGGATGGCCGAGAGCTCTTGGTTACACGAAAGCGTGGGGAGATCACCTACCCAGGGGAACAAAAATGTCTTCGTGGTGAAGGCATGCCAATTCGCAGTACTGGCAAGTTTGGCGACCTCCATATTGAATTTATCGTGAATTATCCTGAATATGTTGATGATAATCAGATTAGGCTTCTCAGTGCAGCTTTGCCGGAACCCAGACAGCACCCTATGCATGAAGTGCCTAATGATGAATCAAAAAATGAGGAGGTATGTTATGCTTCCCGCGAAGACATAGAAACTCTGAAGAAAGAGATTAGCCTTGATGAAATGAGTGACGAAGATGACGAACAGGGTGGTACTGTGGGTTGCCAGGCACAATGATTATGACACCTGCATAACTATGTAACCATATGTTATTCTGTGCAGTTCTTGAAGAGGTGTCATATATTTAGTTGTTGTTTTTTTGTCTTTAAGGACGTACACAGATAAAAATATTATCATATCTTTGGTCTAATAAAGTGCATGCTTAAGATAGTTAAGGAGGTAATTTACTTGTTTCCTATCCTCTTTCCTGCATTTTTTTTTGACAACAATGATGATTTTTTTCGTTTTATTAGTTATCTATAGAGGTTTTTGCTTTTTTTTTGTATTTATGCCTTAAAAAGATCGCTAAATCTTAACTACTCTTAAATAGCTTTTTTCACAGAAGGATACGATTCAATTCTTTTACTGTCTTTCAGTATTCCTATGCAACAATATAATGCTTAAACCCCTTTGATGTATAATCTACTTCTTTCCTTTTTACTTTTATTTTTACAATTTCTAAGTTTATTCTCTTCGATTCTTGGCAGTAATTTCCTCAATAATTACTATGCACTATTTGAACGGCAAGTAAACAAAATATATTTTGTATTTGAATGAATAACATAAATATCTTTCAAAAGTTAGAATACGTGAGATGAACACAATCACTGTAAGGGACGCCTTGTCCGCGGACGAGGTCACTCGTTCCCTCATCCGGCGTCGTTCAGCGTCTTTTGCTCTGGAGATTGAGAAATTATTGGAGTGTGATTATCGTTGTGGACGAGCTAAGGTTTTTTTTTATGAATATCGTGTTCTTGAGGTAAGACGAGCCCGTGCTATTCTTATTGAGCGCATTGTTCAGGCTAAATGTGTCCAGGCACGTGAAATGATTTTCCTTGTGGTGCTCGTGGGAGCTTCAGAGGTCTCCATTGAAACGCTTTCGTGGATCAATATTAATTGTGGTCTTGAACACCACTGCAGCGTGGTATTTTGTTGGGCTGTTGAGGAGGTGGTACAGTTATTGGAAACACTCTCCTTATTGTCCAATTCGTCACTCGCAACCCTAGGACAATATACCGCGCCGGCCAACACCTCATCACCACTTTCAGTGCTTATTGAGGCTTTGATGCAATCCCCTCAAATACTTACGCGGACCGACATCGTGCGGGCCTTTAATCGATGCAAAAGTGTTTCTGATCTCCTTTTGTGCTCAGTCGATACTTTTGTCGATATCCCGGGCTTTGGTCCGAAGAAAACCAAGAAAGTACATGAACTCTTCAATACACCGTTTGTCTTTGATATGGTTCCAAAGCCCAGTCTATTAGAGGGGGTGCCGGTCGATGGGAAGATACCGGACGCCGTTCGACACGCCCTTGAACGGATACGAAACATGGAGGATGATGAAGACATGGAGCTTAATATGGAATTGTAATCAAAAATGTTGAATGGAATCATCAAATGAAGTGTTGATGCTTGCCACCATTAAGGTACAGTTCACATTGCTCATTAAGTTTTAATTAACGGAGTCATGTCGAAACGGGAGAATGGGGAGGCGTAATAAAGGCTTTCACGCAGCAGGCACACATACAAAAGGGGAATTAGTTGTGTATGACAGATAGCTATAGTAAGGCGAATGAAATCAAAGGTCAGTACAAATATAGCTAAATTTGTTTTTGCTCTCATTTTTCTCTTTTTAAGGAACCTGAAATATTTAAGGAAAGATTACCCTACCGTTGTCTCATTCGAACATTGATATTCTCTTTCTTAATGTTTCCTTTATTGTATGTCCATATAAATAAATAACGTATTCATACTTATATATATATATATATATATCCTAGTTCATGTGGCGCCAGATTCTTACGAAGGCAGGGGTCTACGTAAACCCCACCATTCAGAGGCTGCACATTGCCGCAAAGGATTGCCAAGGATTGGTCTGCTCAGATGCCATCGTGGATGGCGAGGTGATCGCGGCGATACCTTTTTGGTATTGTACCTCTCCAATCATTTCTCTTGCATCGCCGTGGGGAAAACAGTTAGGGACTCACTTATCAGATGTCTATTATCGTATTGATGAGGCTCAGGTCGATTTTAGTAAGGAAAGCTTGCTCACTGTTGTTTTGACCGCTCTCTCTATGGAACCGCATTGTATTTTGGCGAATTACTTGAATTTTTTACCAATTGAGCGCGAGTCTGAGTTTTCTTTGAGAAATAAGCTTGGCGATGCCATGATGCAGAAGCTTCACCACATCCAGAAAATCAACGATGATATTATGAAAGACACGCAAATTGTTTTACGTTATTGCGGTGTAAATGTTGAATTGGATCGGCTGCGACGCGCGCATGCACTTTGTGAGAGTCGTTGCGTCGATATACCGTTTAGTGAGGAAGTCTTTGGAGGTCCCGCATTCGTTCCTTTTGTTGATCTGATTAACCATGGTGATACACAAAACATTACCGTTCTCTTAACCTTTTCTGATGATGCCGTGCAGCGCGCGAAGAGGTCCTCCTGTGCGAATATGATATCAACAAAGACTCCTTTTTACGTTATGGTTTTGGCTGCGTGTTCCCTTTCTTGTGATGAAGAGCTGACCTACCCGTACGTTGATCCCAACGAAGAGGCTTTGCTGTACCAAAACCCACTTTATTGGGCTCTCCGCTTTCATTTTTTACCTTATTCTATAGAAGAAAGGATCAAATTATTAGGTGAAGAAAAATCAGTAATGCGTAAGGGAAAAAAATAACAATCCAATATAACAATACGGTGTCAAAAAAAAGAGATTGCGTCATTACATTTTAGTCTCACAAACGTATTTTAAATTCCTTCTGTTTTTACTATTCTTATCAATTCTTGCAATGCATACATTCAAACTTAACAAATTACAATTCTTTATACATCCTTTTATATATTTCCATATTTAATTTGCTGATCCTTTAGAGGGAATATCCTAACAGCATTCTTGCCTTTTTTTTTTATAAGCGTATATACGGTAGGTATGGATGAATACGTTAGCATGCTCTATGACGGCATTTTTAGCTCTCTATTAAACAAAAAGAAGATGCGTTCGCCACAGAAATCGATGCACACAAAAAAAAGTATCTACAGAGTTTGCCATGGTAATGGACGTTACTGGTGTCCTGAGCCCTACAACCTCAAAAGTTGTGTTTTTTTTAGAAAAAAGCGTGTAAGTTTTTCAAGTCATGTGCATGTTATTCTTTATGATAAGGATAGCTAAATTCCCTTAGATATTCGAGTGGTTATTATATTTCAAGGTGTTCGATCTTCTGCGACTTTAGTTCTTCACTCTGGACCTCTAAAAAGCACGATTCCCAATTATACTATAATAGTGTACAGTGTAAATATAAATCCCTAAAGAATCTTAATTTTACACTCTCTAATTTTTCGATCAAAATTCATTACACACTTCTTTTTTCCACTTTTCTTCCATTTTCGTTTTTAATAATAAAAAAACTATAGTGTGAGGAAACTAAGCAGGCAAAATGGTCGCTGAAAGCAAAGCTTCTAACCCCATGCGGGATATTATGGTGAACAAGCTGTGCATCAACATCTGTGTTGGTGAGAGCGGAGACCGCCTCACGCGCGCGGCGAAGGTGCTTGAGCAGCTCTGTGAGCAGGTCCCCGTCCTCTCGCGGGCCCGTCTCACCGTTCGCACCTTCGGCATCCGGCGAAATGAAAAGATCGCCGTCCACTGCACTGTTCGCGGGAAAAAAGCGGAGGAGCTGCTTGAGAAAGGCCTCAA